CAAAAAAACTTAATGATTTTATCCATCAATAAAATCCCATCACATATTTTACAATCGTAAAATATCTACGCTAACAAAAAACTAAAATACCTTTTTCTTCCTCCACAGTTCCAAGCCAGTGACTATTCAGGCGGATACGACTTCGGAGGCCACGGTGGAAGCCACGATGGTGGAGACTATGGCGGCCACGACTTAGGAGGACACGACTTCGGTGGACACGACCTCAAGGCTCACGTCTACCCAGTCCACCAACACGTCGAAGAAGAAAACCCTGAACCAATCAAGCACTACAAAGAAATTGTCGTCCCTCTGCCTAAGAACGTAGAGTTTAAAATCAATCAGCCAGTAATCATTCCTGTACCACACCCGATTCCAATTCAGGTCCCTGTACCGAAGGCCGTAGTGATCCCCATCATCAAAGAAGTTTCTATCCCCGTTGAGAAGTCTGTTCCCTACCCAGTGGAGAAGATTGTTCATGTACCAAAAGTCAAAGAAGTGCCTTTTGAAGTGGTGAAGCACATTTTGGTTCCAGTTGAGAAGCCGGTGCCTTTCAAGGTCCCCGTTTATGAAACTATCATCCATACTAAGAAAGGACAGCACAAGATTTAAATAGAAATAGTTTGGTACTAACACTCTTTGGATGTGCAAAGGACCACTAAAATTATTGTAAAAGAAAATTCGTTCCATTTAGCTGCAAAATAGAAATAACTCTAGATTCAACCAACGTCACGTAAAACCTCATTGGTCCTTCTATCCACAATTGCAAAATTGGTCCTTTGTCTCCAAGGAATAAGAGAGACTGTCAAAATTTTCCGATAACTGTCCAGTTTAATTCTTTAAAACATTTGGACATACATATCATACTTTTAGCTTTTGAAATATCTATTCTTTTATTCGAGTTTTAAAGGAAAAGCAACTCTAATGTTGTTTACACAAGGTCAGCGTTTACCATTAAGTAAACAAATAGGAATTTGTTCGTTTATTTTAAAATATTGAAGTTTTATATTTCAACCTACCGCCTTGTTATGTTGTTGTATTGTTGTTGTACTGTTGTTGTGTGTTGTTGTATGGGTGTCTGTGTGTATGTGTTGTAAATATTTTGTTGTTATTTAGTTCTAAGGTGTAATAAAGAATTTGATAATGATTTATTTTGTGGTTTTACTTTTGCTTGCGTATTCTACTAGTTGCGTATAACTGAAATAAAATGAACAACGTTTTCATATATTATTGCTTAAGTTACGGTCCATTAGCCACGATAGAAAAAATGTGAATAGGAATTATTCCGTACCAGGAAACTACCTCTACTTATAGACAACGGTTCAGTTATATTATACATCTTATATCTATTTCACTACCTCGTTGGCCGAGTGCCCGGCAAGGGATTCGATTTCCGGGTCGGGCAAAGTATTACTGGGTTTTAAAAAAAATCTCAGTAGTGGCACAGAGTCTGGAATAGCCCTGTATATGGCAATAGGTTCACCGCCTATTACATGGGACACATAACATGAATAGTGAAAAGTGGGTGTTACATTTCGGTGAGTGTGCGGGGGAATTGCACAACTTGATTCCCCCTAGTCCTTTCCATCATCGTACCACAAGACAATCGGCGAAGCGTCACCGATTCATGGTAGATGTTCCGCCCACACGCACGAAGCGCTTCGCTTCAAGCTTCCTTGTGCGTACTGCTAAAGAGTGGAATTCTTTGCCAGAATCTGTATTTCCTGAAGGGTAGAACCTGCCAGTCTTCAAGGCCCGAGTGAATAGGTTGCTTATGGGTCGACGTGCTCCATCGAAGACCGCATCATCGCTCACCACCAGGCGAGATAGTGGTCAAACGTCGCCCCATCAAATATAAAAAAGAAAACATTGTACAGTGGCATTAAGTGCCGTAATGTGCACTTCTGCCTACCCCTTCGGGGATAAAACGCGTGTTATATTATGTTATCTATTTCACACATTTTGACAAATAATCAAAGGGGAATATTAATTCCCCTCATTTTTCTGCTCTGTAGTTAATACTACAGAGCAGAAAAATGAGGATTTTTCACACCTATTTCCGAACATTTCTCAATGATAGGCCCATCTGTGGTGTATGTTACAGTGTATTTGTGCAGCTCTGCCTACCCTTTTAACCGTGTTAACGTTACTTAGAGGAGCTACACTTGAATAGAATACGGTAGTTGACAGGTAGTCAAATTTCTATAAGTGTGGGAGAGCCATGCTTCGGCACGAATGGGTCGCTCGACCGGAGTGATACCACGGCCTCACAGAACACCGACGTGAAACAACAAAGTGTTGTGTTACGTCGTATGAGTGAGGTTACCGGATACCCAATTACCCCCCCCACCCCTTTCCCCAATCCCTGAATCCCCAACAATCCTCAAATTCCTAATTCCAAAAGGCCGGTAACGCACTTGTAACGCCTCTGGTGTTGTGGAATGTCCATGGGCGACGCCGATTGCTTACCATCAGATGATCCGTCTGCTCGTTTACCGGCTTATGCCATAAAAAAAATTAAATACTTTTATTGAAATGTCAAAAACGATACTTTTCTATGAATTTTGTATTGGATCGCTACTTATGACGTCATCATATTTCTACGTCAAACAGCATACTTATTTCCTTAAAATTAGCGAGAAAAATTCCAAAATTAAGTAAATTGTCCAATCAATGGATAAGAGTATGATATTTTTTCATTATTTATTTATTGCATTGAAAAGTTAAAACAATTTATTTTAAACTTAGGAAACTAGACAATTGGTTGCAATAAGTTGAAGCTATGAGTTTTGTTATTACAATTTATGCAGGCGATTAGAGAAAATTACCTCTATAATTAATCTCATTGCTGTAGCTGTAACGAAACGTTCTATTGTTACTTATGTTGTATTATTATTATTACGACTAAATTAATATATTATATTTAAATCACATCATCA